ACTGTAATTTGTAGTGTACAGTGTCTATGTAACCTACTGTAATGTATAGTGTGATTGTGTAACCTACTGTAATGTATAGTGTACTGTAGTGTATAATGTTTAGTATTCTGTAATGTGTAGTGTATTGTAGTGTGTGTGTGACTAATGTAGCACTGATTAAAACACTAAACAAAGTTTGCTGATTTATTGCCATATGTGCATAACATTTTTATTATTATTATATTTTGATGGCTTGTTTATCACCAGATGGCATCCACAAACCTGATTACTTGTTTGTGGAACCTAATGGAGAGTGGCACAGAAGAGTTAAAAGTTCTCCAGACTGTTACTTTAGCTCTATCTACAAACCAGATTGTTCAAGGAGAAGTTTTAGCCAAAGTAAGGATTGACATATGTTCAATGTTGTTGTCAAATCTAGGGTACATTAATTATTATTTGGTGTCATAATAATAGCCTATAACACCTTCTAAATCTAATTATAAATTAGTTCCTGATGTTTCCTTTTCCCTAGATACTAGTTAGTAATCAGTATCTAGCAATAGTAAATATTTAATAATTAGACTTAAGTGATCATGTAGAGTAGGCTAATGATATACTTTTATCATATTTCTTTAAATTCTTTGAAAATACTGTTTGCTTTGATAATTGCTGCTGCCTGAAATAGTTGTTTTACTGATGTTACATGTATTAAGTTTTGACCTTTGTGTTACTGAGTTATCAAGAGTATGCTGATCTAAGATACAAACTACTACTATTCCTGAAAGAACCACGTACAAAACAATTAGACACTAATTAAATGTTTTATTAAATTTCTTTTCTTCAATGAATATTTTACTAAACAAATTTATCTTTTTAACCCACCTTAACTTTCACCATCTTTGCATTCTTGTTGTAAATTATGAATTCATCATACTTTAATGAAATCGTTTGCGTGGCTTCTGCTTTTTTTACTTAGATTAAATCATAACCACAGTTTTTCTTTTAAACTTCTTTTAAATTTTTTGGTCAAACCTGTATTGAATTCTAACCATACTTGTATTTGTTTTTGTTTTATTCAAACCTGTATTAAGTTATTATCACATGTACATTTATTTTGTTCAGACCTGTATTAAATTCTAACCACACACTTATGTTTGTTCTTTGTAATTTGAATTAAATTGTTGCTGATTTTTTAACCCTCATGTTACTTGCATTGAATAGGTGCTAGTCTTTATGGAAATTGCATTAAGTTAGTTGTCATGCTTAATTTTCATTTCTTGATTCTGAACAGTTGGAATTGATTTTGTCCATGTGGGGGTGGACCCTGATCATCCTGTTCATTTATCCCACGCCTTGTTTTCCCACCTTTGTCTTACCCTATCGACTCTCATATGGTACTTGTGACATATTGTGAATAGTGATTCACCTCCTTTCCAAGGTGCTCCACCAAGATCTTTAGGGTTTTAGGGGGACACCCTTCACCCTGATTACCTCCACATTGGCACATTATGTTTTTCCCCTTTTCTCCAGTGGTATGTTTTCGGAGATATTCCTGAGACTTTAGAATCACGTGTGGAATCAGTGAGACAGCACTTGACACTTTCATCTTTCGTTGATTGTTTGTTTCATTCAGAGCCTAGACAATCCCCTATTAATGTTTTTCATCTGTGTCTTCCCAGCCATTACCAGTTTCTCCCTCTAGGGGTTCCTCCACTCGTTGTATTATTCAACACAGATGGGCACGTCACCAGTGGTACCAGTGACTACCTGATGGATTCCGCTGCAGTGGGGGCTGGCTTGACTGATTTTGTTCCCTTCTAGCAAGATTTCACCACAAATATTTGGGTTATTTGGGTATTATCTGAGGAACTTTTCATCTACTTCCATCCCCCTCATATGTCTTTTGTTGCGTGGTCAAGGCTTTTGCTAGATATATGCATGCATGGGGATTGCACTTATACCATCACATGAATGGCCGACTACTGTTAGCTCATTCCAAACGAGAGTCTGCCCATCACACTCATGTTTGGCTTTGGAGGCAGCTTGGGTGGGGTCAAAGGTTTGTTGACTTGTATTCAAAATTTTATTGAACTATTGTTTCATGAATTTATGTCAGTAAGTTTGGTATTACACTGCAGATTATAATTCAAATTTTATTATTATATATTAGTTAATTTCTTAATTTAATAGTGAATATTAAAAAAACAGTTAAACATCAATTTTTATGTGTCATGTGGTATGTTGATTGCAGCACTGGTTCAAATTAGATGTTTGTGATGTGAAAATACAAATTCTATAGTTTTGTACAAATTAGGAACTCAAATTACTGATATTGATAAGCT